CATACACTTTGGCATTTGTGTCGAAAATCCAATATGGTGGCCAAATCATTTGATTTTTTCTGCTGCCAGAAGGAGTTCAGAGGAGAGACGTAAGATAGCAAATTTTAAATCAATATGAAAAATGTGACATCAATATAAAATTATTCTCTGTTGAGAACAAATCCAAGATGACCGCCAAATCAAATGACCAATCATTAAAGTGGTATTTGTTTTACATTGTCTTCGTTGAGAACAGTCACCTGATGGAAATCGTAGAAAATGATTACGAGCGATACACACTTCTACGCGAATTGGCACATAAAATCACCAGTGAACGGCCGACAAAGAAGAGACTTGGCCTCTCAAGCTGTCGGTGCCGTATTTGACATTTTATCCAGCGCCCGGTAAGTTTCTATTCTGAGCCATAATGCCTGGAGTTCACTTGAGAAAACTGAATTTCAACGAATGGCGCCCTCTGGAGACCGAGACGCAACCCATAGCCATCTTTTTTCACTTGCAAGTTATTTAAATCTAAGATGGTTGACCAATCAGAATACTGTAAGTATAGTTATGTAGCTCAAATAACCGCCTATGCTCTCACAAGGTTTCACAATTGTAGCTGCGAGTCTGAATAAAAAATACCCGCAATGCAACATCATTTAACTAACTTCTCAAGATCCGTTGAACAAAATGAGCCGAAATTGTGCATGTACATAGTACATGGCATTAAGCAACTAGTTTGATCTCAAGTAGTTTGAACTATTGAACAATTTCTAAACAAAATAACTAAACATGTTATCTTCATCCATATTCTTAAACGTATGGACGAAAAAAGTGACTGAAGAAGGAAGAAGAACTAAAGAAAAATTCGGACAATAATAATAGTCCTTTCAGGTTCGAGGTCGGCGCATTCATTGTAATTACGATGGTGGCAACCAAAGTCTAAATACATGACAACATCTCATATATTTTTTTCTGAATCCAGATGGTAGCATGCTTTCATGAAACATTTACACTACTAAACTACAGTATACGGTATGGCTCAACTGTGGTAAACGTAACCAGGAAATCTATATACAATACATGCTTTTCCTCACAAATAGAATGAACCAGAGTGGAGTTAAACAGCCGCATTATGGCTCTTATTTTTCAGCTCGAGAATAAATAATCATGGCTGATTTATTGATTTATTAACTAGCACTACAACTACAGTCACTTCCACAAATGGATAAACGAATAATCGGTCAGTAATTTTATTAGTAAACCATTGCACTGCTTTTTCGGCTGGTCGGATGTGTTCGGTGCCCGTAAATATGTTGCCAATTCGTTATAGTCTCTCGCTGTTGTTGTATCGCAGTATTATCACATTGTATTACACAAGCCGGCTACCCATGCGTTCAACACGTTGTAAAGTCATTGCGATCCTGTCCACCACGAAAACCGCACACCCTCCATCCAACCAACCATCCATCCATCAACACACTACGAACCATTATGAAACGTACAACCGCACGTACACCGCCCACACACAGCGCAATGTAACGCAGCCAGATCGTCGACATATTGTATTGCAGCATCCAAACATCAATGCATAAATCAACCACAGTGCACAGTGTAACATCCAGCTAACCACTGCCATCACATCGCAATACAATACGCTATCCAATTAACTAAGCAGGCTACTCAGGAGATGAAGTTCATGACATTCTCACGTACACCCGTAAATGTAATTTACAGACTTGGAATATAAATACACCATGTCGTGTTTTAATACTGAAACCTACATAGTTACATGGTTTGCATATAATATATAGAGAAATAGATAAATAAATGAGAAAATATTTGAATAAATATGATTCTCTAAAATACAAACTATTATTAAACGCATGATAATTATGTTCTTCGAGAAATCACATAAATCTTATTGTTCCAGTCTTTGGAAACATTTTTCATATTACATTTCAACGCACAATTGTTAACCTAATTCTGTGATAGTCTCGACAAATCAATCGAGCATCCACATACATTATAATTAATACTACAAAACGTGATTATTTCCTTTGTTCAATACTGTTACTGGAAGTATAACGTTACAGCGTATTTAAGACGTGATAAATTCAATTAGATAATAAAATGAGTTGAAAACCTGTCTCGATGCCAGTGAAATGCTAACACGCTTGAGCACAGTCTAGTCGTCACGGGTCACGAATGTCACGATTCACAGTTTGAAGTGAATTAAATCATGGATGAAAACACATATTGCTCCAGTCAATTCACTTATTTCTGTTTAAATCATTGTTGAATAAGTTACACATGGCTGTCGCGAATTGTAATCAAAAATTATAAGTCAGAAATATGATTGTTCGCGCAAACGCTTTTATATTGGTGTGACCGACGACAAATAACGATATTGTTATCAGCATGTTTTCGCTATCCTTTCTCAGACAAGGTTTTTAATAAGTATTAACATTTAATGTTTCAATTATTTAATAAAATGCGATTATACAGTCACAGATCGGTAAACAAACAATGCTAACAAATCAGACTGCATTGGAATTTATCAAATATTTGTTCTCGTATTATTGTCCCTACAATCATAGGTATGCATTTTTTTTATTAAATTAATATATCTATCAAGTTGGGTGGTATTGAAGTGTTAACGAGTGGGAGAATGAATTACTCTACATGCATCAATACCAAACGATTGCTATGACGTAAATATATATATACTGAATATTATTGACTCAGCTCAATACAGTAGTGTACGAGGCGCCGGTCTAATTTTTGGAGCTTAACATTCTGAAAGGGTTTCTCTGTATTGCACATGTCTCTTTATGATAACTGGAAATACAAGCACAGTACGAAGAGTCAAAGAAGTACGTTAATAAGGACATTTAGGACTGCGCTGCGTTTACAATTAACATCAAATCGTTCACGACCTCTTATGTCATTTCGAATTTCCGCAATGATTTCTCTTACATAGCAGTTCGGAAGAGCCTGGCAATACTGACGTTAAATGCCTAAGAATACGGTCATAATAAACCCCGCATTTAAATACGGAAAGTTTCCCAAAATGAAACATACAAGGTTAAGTAAGCAGTGCATAATGCGGATAATGTAACCACTTAGACGCGAGTCACGAGGTTATATTGACGTAAAAGACAGTTTAATATGCACTTTCATGCAAAGTAGGTTACTGAAATCAGACAATTCATGGTTATATATATATATTAATACACATTGTATTAAGTTGCTCGCCGTCATTTTTGTCTCGTAATAATGTCTATTTTTATTATGTGCCAAATTCTTATCAACTCATATATAAGCTCAATTAACAATTTCCAACAATAATGGACAATAAGTGAGTAATTATTTATAAATATTCACTGATTATAAGGTTTGGGTATCGAATGATGTGTTTTATATTGTGCTTATATATGAATTCATGAATCCGAAACCGGTATGTGCATAGGTACACCCGCGTTTGATAGTTGTGTTGGCTCGTGTAACACCGTGTCCTTCCATTTACTTGGTAGTTGTTGGCATTTGCCACAAGACAAAAGTTTCTGAAAAGCCCGTCGAAATTCTTTATTGAAAAATGCGTAAATGAGCGGATTAAGAGTACTGTTCAGGTATCCCATCCATGTCATTGCGTTCAAACCATCGTAAGATACATTAATTTTACAGACGTCACTAAGAGTCCAGTAGACGATATATGGCCCCCAGCACACGAGGAAACAACCCATTATAATGCCTAGTGTTTTAGCGGCCTTTCGTTCCCTCTTCGCTTGCGTGCCGTTGGGGTTGTTCGCAGCCACCGCTTTGTCCATGGCGGCGATTCGCCTTGCTTGCGTTCTAGCGGTTCTAAAGAGCGATAAATAAACTAAACACATGCCGATTAGTGGAATCCAGAAAGCCAAGATCCCTACAATTACAGTGTAATAGGGATTGGTCTCGAAACCGCATGCATTTGGAGTGTCTATGTTCTGTATGTTGTAGTCAGTGGTATTAAGACCAGACATAATCGGGAAGACAGACATCATAACAGAGGCTACCCATACGAACGCTATAGCTACGGCAGCATTACGGGGCGACATCCGTATGTGATACTGGAACGGGGACGTTATTGCGATATATCTATCCACGGCGATAGCGAACAAATTCAACACAGAAGCCGTGCACACACACACATCTATGGAAACCCAGAGATTGCACCAAGTAACACCGTAAAACCATTCCTGAATGTAGATGTACGCGGTCGAGAACGGCAAAACGACTGCGCCGACAAGGAAGTCTGCTACCGCCAGGCTTGTAACAAAATAGTTAGTAACTGTCTGCAGTCTTGCAAACACGATAACGCTGAATATTACCAGCAGATTGCCAACCACGGTGAGGAATATTATAACCGCTAGAGTCACTATGCTCACAATCTTAGCGGCTTCATTTGGAAATAGATCTGCCTCTTCGTTAGAAATGTACGTGGTGTTATCCATAGTGTCTGTCGAAATTCTGTAAAAGCCTTCGTCGTAATGTTAGACGAGCCTCTAGTAAAAAGTAAATGTAGATATGAATATTTTCACTGCTCACTTCAGATTTTCTCAATCAAAACTGTCGTATCAGAAAACTTCAATGTAGCATCTCAGCATAACAAAATTCAGTAAAATCATTTCTTCCTACAGCTGCATGTCTGTTGTGTTGATGCAGTTAACACGACAGGTATCGTCGACGGAGAATTATCGCCGCTGTGTTTGGAACTGTGCACTTACTAGACTAGCGAAGCCACCACAGACGAGCTCGGGCCTTGATGTGATCACTGAGCCAACGACCCATCGACTGTGTTGCACGTCGGTTACCTGACAACCAAAGGGAAAATTGAATGAACGCATTAGTCACGTGATAAATAAGTCATTATACACAGCAGCTGCCGTTGGATAGCTTTTTGTTAATATTGAAATCAGTTGTATCTGGAATCCATCTGACGTACTGCGTCAATGTAGGTTGCGTGAAGCAACGCATATTATAAATCGTTACGTAATAATGTACCGAATGTATAATGAGATAGGGAGTCAATGTCAGTAACTGTTTGCACCGCGCCGACGAGTTT